CTCCATATGTTTTCATTTTTCCATCTTCTTCCCTATTATTTTCACATATTGTTCCATTATTGTCCCTATAAGTGTCCATATGTCCCATCATTTTCCTGTCATTTTTCCATATGTTCCCATCAGTTGCCCATCATTTCCCCATCATTTTCCTCATCATTTTCTCATCATTTTCGATCATTTTCCCATACGTTCCTATATGGGTATGGATCAATACCTATTAATACCATGTTTAGGGGAATGAACAACCATTTACCAGCTATTTTGATGTTCACCAGGGGTACAAGGTTTTGACACACTGCCATATTTTCATCTTGTCCATGACTTCCCATCAGCTCCAAGGCTCTGCCACCACTCCCGTGGTGTCCACCACTGGGCCCCCAGAAAGGTGCTTGCACTGGGCCTGGCTAACGCGACGCTTGGACCAACAAAAAAAGGGGTAAAATAAGGGGATGAACCACCAAAAATTATAGCAATCTCCATGGAATAGCATGGAAATATCATGAAGTATATGAGAGTTGCCATGGCAAATCACCAAAATCTATAGCAATCTCATGGAAATATTGAAATATGATGCGTGTAGTTGCCATTTTTGAAGGTCCTTTCTCCCTTTAACTTGTGCGATCTTTCTTTAAAAGAGCTCTTGCAATCTAAACAGCCCCTCCTTCAACCAAAAACTCATGCATCCGCAAGTTGCAAGCCTCACGAAACATCACGAAACTACCTACCTTGCAACAGGCTTTTTCTGCAAAGGTTCAACACCCAAAACTCCAAAAGATCCCAATTTCCATGAAGTGATTCACATCATCTGGTTGGTGGTTTCAACCATCTTGAAAAATATGAAAGTCAATGGGAAGGATTACTAAGGATTATCCCATATATTATGGAAAATAAAAGCCATGTTCCAAACCACCAACCAGTCATTATACAAATTCCCTCCACATGTTCCACCTTAAAATCCTCGGGAACCCCACATGGGAACCTGCCTCGCAGTTCACGGTCTCCAGCCCTGCCAGGCCCAAGCCCAGAAAGGTCATGGAGGAGAAGAAGGCACCTGCGGCTGCGGGTTGATCCTCATATTTCTGGATAAAAAAGAAGCAACTCCCCCAATTTCATCCAATTTCTAGGATAGGAAGGTGATTTTTATCACTATTTGGGGATTGGATGTTACTTTCTTCAATATTGTTGGTAATAATAACACATACACACACACATATATATATATACATATTCATATACATATTCATATACATATAGAAAGATAATGATGACTCTTCACTTCCACCAGAGTTGGAACTAGTTGCACCCGGCCTGCGAAGTTCTGCGTCATGGCCAGGGCTCCAAAGATGATGCCTGGGGGGGGGGGAAAATGAAGTTTCAACAAAGGAGCCCTTACAGTAAACTGAACTTCGACTCAAGAAAAGTATATCTCTACATATGTATACATATATAGAGAAAGAGATATAGATATATATATATAACCACAGAATACATTTCATCATCACTTTATATTCAAGGTCTATGGCATTCACGGACTTCACTGGTGGCATGTCACCGATGCTGGTTGCTTCGACTAGTTCTACCTCCATATCTTGTGGCTACGCTTTGCAACCCAATCTGTGAAATCATTAAATCCATCCACATCTAGATCTATGTCTACCATGGTTTATTAATTGTGGGGGTACCCTCCAAATAGTCAATATAATACATAAATGGTACCCCCCCAATTAAACAGCCGTTTGGGGTTTATTAATCCAGGGTTGACATTATCAAACTAATGATGATTTCTCTCCATTTTTGGCCGTGGCAGGTTGCACCTTGGCGCTTTCTCCCTGGCACTGTGCCGAAGATGCAGTCCTCATCCACCAGCCAACACTGCGCCGACACTCGCCTTTGGACGATCAGATCGGAGATGACTAAGACTCCTGGTGATTTTCAGTCAGGGGGGAAGATCCCATCTTTGTAGTTGGGGGATGTATTTCCCAGCCCGGAAATAGGGTCTCGAAACAACTGCCGTGTTGCTGTGTCTGAAAATCGGGCACCCTGAAATGTGATCAAATTTCTCATCATGTTCCCCCATGGAAATGACCACGAATTGGGGGGTATATGGATATACCGCCACTTACCCTCTGGTAAACTAACATAGCTATGGAAAATCACCATTTTTCATGGGAAAATCCACTATAAATGGACAAGACAGCCGTCACAACCCAACCAGCTCCATCGGTCCATCCGCTGCAGATTTCTCCAAGGCGCCAGAAGGAAAAACTCGCTAGGCCCAGGCGTGTGGTGAAGGCCCATAGGAAGACCTAGCTGGAAAATCTGTGATGCTTGGGGGGTAATTCAGTGTATAGCCAGCCCAAGTTTACATTAAAACGATAGAAAGGTGTTTAAAAAAAAAAAAAAAACGTCGATATTTTGGATTTTCTCCGGGGTGCACAATGGATTGTAGACCCATGGTGCTTGATGGTGAAAATTGACTACAACATAATGCAAGCACCCAAAATTATCGCTTACGGGCGCCATGATGATATAGATCAGAGAATCATGATTGATTCTTCGGGATCAAGAATCATGGCATGGTTGATGCTGGGAAAATTGGGTCTGACTGACCGATTTACCATAAAAACAAGGAATGTAAATCCAAAAAGGAGGCATGCTGAGTACAAGAGGCGGCCACTGAGAACCCCTGTAATCTAGCATAGACCATCTTCAAAATCACCATACATGGGTTGCATGAAGCATTCCCATTTAACTTTATGATTTGGCTGATTTGGCCGACCATCTGATATGCAAACAATCGTTTGCCTCACTGTTTTGAGAAACCTGACACAGGGCTCCTCTCCCCAAAATGGGCCGGCTTCCCAACCGGGTGACCATGGTGACGGAGGCATCCGCCCAGCCGATGATTAGGAAGGTGGCCAGGGCGTTTAGAAGACCTCCATGGGATTGGGGATGTCATGGCTGGTAATGGGGATGTCATGGCTACTCTCCACAAACGCGAACAGAAATCCGGAATTCCCGGCACCGATGTGGATTTCTAATCAACCAGAAATCTAGGTGTCATCAACCGAAAAAAGGGCTTCCAAAAACATCAAGTGAGAGGTGACATCAACCGACACATGTTGGAACTGCTGCTTTAACAAACGTGGCCCGTGACCATCATTGACAGGGATGCTATGGGTCAAAAAGTGAGGTACCCGAAAAAAATGGGATGGTTTACCCTCTGGTTATGTCAAAATAGCTATTGAAAATGGCCATAGAAATAGTGGATTTTCCCAGAAATGGTGATTTTCCATAGTTATGTTAGTTTACCAGAGGGTATGCTTCACATTCTTCGGAATTGCTGCTCCCAGTTTATAAATGTCCATCGCGGTATGACTGGGAACAGGCTCGTCCACCCAAGCGTATGCCAACTTGTCCAATCAACGATTGCGCTGGTCAAGTGGATGTCCTTTTCCAAATTCACCGCAACTATCTATTTATTTAATATCTAATCTAATCCACTATAGTTTAGTTTAGCCTACTCGAATGTCTAGATCTAGATCTATAAATCTAATCCAAGCTAGTCCAATCTAATCCCATACATTATTAAACAGCCCATAAATGGTCCCAATGATGTGGAAATTCCCGAAGCAAAACCATGGATTTTCGAAGCAACCGAGGGACGGCAGAAGACCACATAGCGCAGCAGGCGCCGGTCCTTGATGCCGCTCAAGTCTTGCCTGGAGCAGGGACCACCCTGGCCATACACAACTTATCATAATAGGTTAACTAGGTGAATGGTAGATATCAATGGATTATAATAATTCAATTATAGTGAATGGCAAATATCAATGGATTCCATAGTCATGGTGCATTTGGGATGGTGAAATTGGAATCCATTCATGGTGATGACTTGGGGATGGTTTATTGTTATACCAAATTAGTGGTAAAATGAATAAGAACCATCACTGAAATAATCATAGCAATTTGAGTGCCAATAACACTTGCACCAAATAGCCTGACAAAAGTCGAGAGCCCGGAAACCGTTAATTGCGAGACTCTTTTTGTGGTGTTCTATCCCCACTTTGCGGGAAACAACCATGAAATCCAGCATTTCTTTTCCTCTGGTTGCGATTGCGATTCAATTCCGAAAGCGTTCCAAGCCGAAATCTGTTGACCCAAAGCCCGAAGTGTTCCCAGGACCCTGAAACGCTTCACCCAACGTCAAGCACCTGCCATCCCCCGCGCTAAAGAGCCGCATGTAGACCAAGTTCAGACCTTCGGAATCAGCCCAGCTACCCTCTGGTAAACATACAAAAAGCTATTGAAAATGGCCATTTATAGTGGATTTTCCCATTAAAAATGGTGATTTTCCATAGTTATGTGACAGTTTACCAGAGGGTACCAAATTCTGCAGCATTTTGCCATGGTTTTCCCATTTTTTCCCGATGGAAAAAAGCACCATTTCCCTGTGGATTTCCCCTCGCTTCCAAGGTGCCGATCTCGGTGACTCCTGCTATGAGGCCGCCGGCCGCGATCACCTGCCAATGGGAAGTTGCTGTATCTATACAGACATACATTTGTTTATTTATTACTGTCTTGCTTTATATTTAATTTGGATTGAATTATTTGCTGTTTGTTTCTAATCATTCTATTTATTCATGTATCTGTTTGTTTATCCATGTGTTGTTTGTATATATATATGTGTATATGTATAACAATTGATTTAAGCTATTTGTTTGTTTGTGTTTTTGCTGTTTATTGATCATTGATGTATGTGTTTATGTATTTGTTTACTACACGAATTTAGTGTATTTTTGGGGATGTTTCCTGACATGTGCGTTTCTCAGTTGCAATGCGAACAGATTGGAGGTGTTTGACACTGTTGTGGGGAGTCATGGTTCGTACGAACCTTGCCAGGAAAAAAAAAGGGGGGTCGGTTTGGGACGTGCAGCCTTTTGTGCAAGAGATCGAACCATCCTGGATTTTGGAATGATTCAGTGACTTTTACCCTCTGGTGATTTAACATAGCCATGGAAAATGGCCCATTTATAGATGGTTTACCTGGGTTTACCTGTTAAAAATTGTGATTTTCCATGGCTATGTTAAATAACTAGATGGTAAATGGTCTGAATGGATATAGTTGTTGCTTTGTTTGAGTGGTGGAGTTGTTGGCTGGATTGTCAATTGCCCTGCGTCTTGATCGATTAAAAATCATTCACAAAAACACATGATAACACATGATCTTGAAGTACTGTTCAAAAAATGTGTGTCTTTTTTGGTTCACCCAATTTGGGTGTGTCGAAACATAGTACAAATAGGCTACCTCCAATTTTATGACGACAACGGTCACGCTCTCGCTCCGACGTCATCGTCATCGCCCACAACGGGGATCTCGCCGGCCTGCAGTCGTTCCCATCCCCCAAGTCGCAGGACATAGGTCACGTAGTAGAAGAGAGTGCTACCAATGGAGGCGCCGTAGGCGCCATGCCAAAACCTGAGGATGTGGGGATGTTCCAGATGTAGGACAGGATTTCAAGAAGTGTGTCTAACCTCTGAAGTTGCTGAATCATCCTATCCATCAAAACCCATCAAATTGCCATAAACCATCCAAAATGGCTCAATTCCACTTATATTGCATCCAAAAAAGTCTTCATCGCCGCTATGGTTGAAAACCTTATCAACTGCTGAGGAGAAAAATTCACAGACCAGAGATGTCCGTGCCCAGCGACTTGACGGCCATCAGGTGTCGAAAAGCCATGTTCGGCTGCGCCTCCTTCCATCAACACGAACCGGAACCGAAAAAAAGGGAGTCTCCTACCAAACAACAACTTCCAGAAAGACAAGCTGAGAAACCAGAAAAGGTCACTTTAAAATCTGCCCAAATACTTGAAGGTTAGTTTGCCATCCCATTATCTATATCATCACAGTCCATCACACTTGGTGTAGATATCACTATATCACTTGATCATATTATTAGGTACCCATGACTTAGGACTTAGGCCCACATAGTGACATGGGATTCTGTGCACCAAGTCCTAAGATGTCCTAAGTCACTGGTACCTAGTATACTTTATCACTACCCTCTGGTAATAAACTGTCACATAACTATGGAAAATCACCATTTTTAATGGGAAAACTCACTATAAATGGCCATTTTCAATAGCTACGTTAAATTACCAGAGGGCATCTGGCCATGTTTTCAGCATCGCCGTTCCCCCGGGTCGACCGGCGTCCTCGGCGGCTCCACGTCTCCGGCAGCATCGGCAGCGCGGTCGCACCTCGCGCAAGATGTCCAGCACGCTGCCGGTGTCGGGGGCGCTGCTCTCGTCCTGGGTTTTGGATGGGAAAACTGGGATCAAAATGGCAGTGTGTCAAAACCTTGTACCCCTGGTGAACATCAAAATAGCTGGTAAATGGATGTTCATCCCCCTAAAAATGGTATTAATAGGTATACTTAGAGGTTAAACAGCCTCAATCAACCAGCAACGCCGCACACTGTTTTTCTTGAGCCATAAGATGTCAGATACTATACACATACCACGTGGCACAACTTTACATGGGAGGTATAGAATACTAGTTATTAGCATCATGTAAAAACACCCCCCGTATACCGTAGCCGCTTAGCGGCTTCGGTATATCTGTGCCTGGTATGCGCCGCCGCCGTTCGATCTAAGTGGGCAAGAAGATGCATAACAAATTCACCTATGTCGAATGTGTCGGATGAGTTGGCACGGATGTCAAGGCATTGGACGAATGCTCGAATGCAAGTCATATGATCCTTTTACGCCAGTGTAGGCTCGAGGTTGCACACGGCACGGCCTTGGCTCCCGCCAGGCGTCTTCAAATGGAATGAAGGAACAATACCATTCCTCTTTTGTCATCCCAAAAGGACACCATGGCATGGAAAAACTGTACAGCCATGAAAGTGCAAAACGATCTGAGATCTTGCCTTGAACATCCAATTGTATGGCTTGAGAAGTCATTTAGGTAAATTTTAATTAGCTCAAACTGTGCAGAAATTTGTGCATTGAAGTTCACTTGAATGGGATAATGCGTAATGTGCGTCAAAGCTTTGGTTTGTTCAATGGGTGCGATGCCTGCCAAGTTTGTCATAGACAGGCATGCCTCCCGGCAAGCATACTTGAAAAGAAAGATATGACCTAAGCGTCAATGCGAGTCATCCCATAGTTCAGGTCCAGCGCCAGTACCAGCCTCGCTGTTGATTCCAGTACCACGTGTAGCGGTAGCCCTGAACCCAGTAGGAATCTCCTTCAAAGTCACCGTAGGCCACACCTCCCGGTGGGCTTCGGCCTTGCTTGCCCTTCCCCTTCTGCTGTCCCTTTCCTTTGGTCTGTCCTCCACCTTTGTGATGACCTTTTCCACCACCGCCCTGGCCGTAAGGACCGCCGCGAGCAGGCTTGCCAAGATTTGGCTCAAATTGCTCGTGATGGGGTCGTTCATGTTCAGGTCGGCTGATGGCTGCACTTGCATGAGGAAGACTGACCTCCCGGTCGTCGCCGGTGGTTTCAGATTCCTTGTGCGTCTGTTGGGAGGCAAAGTTCGACCATTGCAGCTTGCTGAACTCCACCAATTCCTTCGCGATCTCCTTGGCATCTGAAGCATCAGGCACAAAGTCACGATTGCCCCATCCATAAACAATGGGTAGAGGCCTTTGCCTTGGCTTGATGAACTTCGCCACATAGACTGCGAATTGGCCAATGTCGAGAAAGACGCCCCGATGCGACACAAACACCTCGGTGTGAAGATCCAAGGGTTGGTCGGGCTCCCGCTCCGACGATGGCACAAAGATCAACTTGGTGGCCATCTCAAGCTTTTCGCCAAGAACCTGAGCTTTGGTGCGCTCAATGGTCGGGCTCACGCAGCCAGCCAAACGCTCAATGAAGAGCAAGGCCTCCGGCACCAAGTTTTGATTCGCCGCATTGAACTGAAAGAACGGGTCGCGGACGAGTCGGTCAACAAGGTCCTTGAAGCCCCTTTTCTTGAAAGATCTGACGTAGTTTTTGGCCATGTCTCTCAAGTTGCCATAGGTCCATAGGTGCTTCTGGTCCGGACGGCTGTCGAAGAAGACGATGATCCCTTCTCCGGCTGCCTGGCTACTCTGCCTCTTCGCGGGTGGTTGAAGATCACCTTGTCCATGGAAAAGGGCACTCCTCTGGTACGGGCCATCGCCTCCCGGCGGGCAACTTCCGTGGCGATGTTGGCATCGGTCACGGGTTCCATCTGCCGGAAGCAGCGCGGGCATTTCAAATGCCCATCCATCATCAGATATCCGCAGATCGGATGGCTACAGCGTACCTGAGGCGTGTCTTGGATCTGGTTGTAGGAGATGTCCTTGAATTGCAACTCAAATCCGTGTCGACCTTGCCCTCGGCTCCAATTTCCACCACCGGGTCCATTCCGTCCACGACGTTGGAAGCCACATGCATCCGTGCTTGTCATGGCGGCCATCTTTCCAACGGTGTAGCCGGACACCAGCTGAGAACCTGATGCCGGCTCACCCTCCCGGGTGGCAGTGCTCTTTTCGACCTCAATGTCTTCACGCCTGGAAAAGGGGAGGAGCTTGCCAAACTCAATGCGCTCTTTGATGCCTTCAAAGTTCAACTGGGCATTTTCCATCAACATCTCCATGCGGCTCATGAGAACATCCGTCGGATCAAACTCGGCCTTGGCCTCTTGAGGACTTCCTGGTAAGCCTTCCGATGGTTGACATAAGCCCTGTTGATATAGAAAAATTCGCCCGAACGCATATCAAAGGCGTTGATCATCGGCTGGTTCGAGATCCAGTCTGGCGACAGGATGGCCTCGTCAGTCGCGAAAAGTTTGTAGCCCATTTGCATCATGAGCTCCATGTCGAACGCGATGGCGATTGGCCTCCCGGCCCGCGTACCTTGCAACTTTTTCATTTCCGCTTTCCAGGGCGGAGTGGAGTTGAAAAAGTTGTGGGCTCTGCCCGTTTTGTACGGGAATCCGCCAGGGATCAGGCCGTACTTGATGATGGAATTGAAGGCGGCTTGGTCACAGGTGTGATACACCACTCTGGGGAACTTGTGCCACACAGGCGAGCCTTCCGGCATCGCGGAGAAAGCGGGGTGGACCGATGGGTCGTCAATCTTGGTCTGGTCGAAGTTCTCATCAAAAGTGAACATCGTTTTGATCATGCTTGACATCCCCCCTTGCTCCACGAGAAAGGCCGATGACCCTGAATGGCCCTGATCCTCACTGGCGTCCACCTGAGCTTTCCGGACGACAAGCCGTTCACCTGGACTCTGAAGCGACGCATCGGAGAGTTGCGCACGACCATCAAAACTTCTTCTTCTCGAAGGTGCGCAAAATCTCCTTGGAGATGCCTCACCAATGCCTTGAAGTCCATTGACAAATCAGTCCTCCGAATCTCAGGTGATGGCCTCCTGTGAAACATTCGATGGCCACGGAGGTAGTCGGACATAGCATGGGAAATTGATCCAAGCCTTCCGTAGTCCACCTTGCGCACAGGAACTCCTGCCATGTTGTCCGGCTCAATCCAAACCAGATCCTGTGCTGTGGCAAATTTCGACGTGTCAAACTGCTCAGCACTTGGCCCATGTCCCTCATCCACAACCTTCAATCTCTTTGGCATGGCCTTCTTCTTGGGCTTGAGCTTGGAAGTCGGGTCAGGAGGCGTGGCTCCCGCCGACGCAGCTGCAGTTGTGTCCGTTCGCCATGTCTTTGCAGATGAGGTGCTCTGAGCCATCTCAGTCTTCCACGTCTTTGCCGATGACGAGCTCTGGGCCATCTCCGTCTTCCAGGTCTTCGCTGATGCCGTACTCTGGACCATCTTGTTGCCCTGATCATCAACATCCATGGGCTCCGGGTCCCCCCGTGCATCAGACTTCGAGGCCTGCATAGAAGAGACCTTGTCGATCACGGCCATGTCATCATCGTCATCATCATCGATCGGCTCGGCCTGCCCCTCCTCAGCGTCATGGAACTCCTCTTCATCGACAATCTCCACCGAAGCCACCGTCTCGAGGTCGTCAAGGTCCAGCTCCTTTTCCTCTTCATGTACTGGGTCACTGGCCACGACTCCCGGCGGGCATTTGTCATCCTCAATGAGGTCCCACCCTTTGAAGTCCTCGTCTTCATCCTCGGCCGCATAGGTGGCATCTTGCCATTCTTGGTCGTGCTCCTCTGATAGGCCTTTTCGCCTCGCCAAAATTCGATCATCCATAGTGAGGGCCTGAACTTTGACAGCCTCATCGTCCGAATCAGCGTTGTCATTGCGCATGGGTTCCAATGCCTGGTCCTCTTCAGGAATGTCTCGCATCCAGGACTCGACCTCCCAGTCGGCAGAGGCTGTGGCGCTCTCCTCAGCTTGAAGCACCCAGTTGAAAATCTCGATGTCTGCATCCAACATGAGCTTCTCAGGATCAGGTCGCTGAGGAAGATCTTTTGGGGAGGATACATTCGAATCGATTTCAAGCTGGTACGCGGCCTTGAGGATGGTGAGGTTCGGGTAGTTCTTCTGCTCCTGGAGATCGTCGATTCTTGGGAGTGTTCTCAAGTGATCGTCGACGCTGATGAGCTTGAGGTAGGCAAGGTGGCAATCAGCGACGGCCTGGAGGAAGTTGGTGACATACTTCCGGTTGATGACGTCGTCTTCCAAATGCACCTTGTCATATCTCACAGTTCTGGCAAGCATCAAGGTGGTGTCCAGGGTTTGAATACCATGGTCCTCTCGCAGTGCCCTGATGTGGACACGCATGGTCTCATTGTAGGCCGACGGGAGAGCAAAGATTTCCGCGTCAGCGTTCCCAACGACCACGATGTCCAGGATCCGGGGCTCATCACGTTTGAGCTGGCCCAGTTCGTTGACGGACCGCTCGACCCTTGCCTTTTGCCGCTCACACCAGTTGGCCGTGACCTCCCGGTCGGCAGCAGACTTGTTGTAGGCAGCCCTGTGGATCCAATGGACACCTCTGTAACCCCCTTCGCCAAACACATCATTGCCGGCCCACCCCACGATGACCAACACCGGCAAAACCGGGCGACCATGTGCACGATTGGTGGACTCGATGTCATCGATGGCCTCGGGGATATACTGGACCATATGGTTCAAACCTTTGCCCCACAACATTTTGGTATATATGCCACGGATGTCTCCCCAGGGCTTCAAAAGATCGCCTCCGGAAAAACACGAAGCCTTCCCTGCTTGGGGGTCAGGTACCAGAGCAAGAGATGAGTCTGATACGATCAGCAGGTCGACCTCGCCTCCCGGCGGGTAGGGGCACATGGCCAAAAACCCATCGGGCGTGTTCTTGTAGACCTCCGCGAGCGTGTCGTATGCCCCTTCAGCATTGCCACCACCCAGCATCGGCTCGACGATATTCGCCAGGGGTAGGCGGCATCCTTCCATCTCTCGCAAGAGCACCTGTGGGTCGTCCCAGGTCGCAACCGCAATGGCTGCCTTCAGGGTGTTGACCACACCTTCCCATTGGGTGATGCGCTCGAGGATGGCGGGCCTCCCGGCAACCGCACAGGCCTTGGCCATTTGGATTGCACGAGTCAACATGACGAAGACGGGAGAACAAAAGGGCGCGATGAGTGCACAGCAAGTTAGCTTGAGAGCGGGATGCTGTCGGGTAAGAGCTTTATGTATGGCGTCTGTCATGCGGAAAGTGTACTCCTCCGTTTTCTTGAGTGCAATACCTCTACCTGGAGCATGACGCCTGTTGCATGTGCATTGGAACTTCGATAATGCTTTACCGACTCCAGCATGGTTTGTGGCCACTGTCCAAGGTTTCTTCAACGGATCATTGTCTTGATTTACCATTCCAAGAGCACAACCATCGAAATGATATGCAATCATCCCATAATAGTTCAACAGCTTTGCAACTTTAGTCAATTTCCAATATCGACATTTTCGTGGCCACTCGAGTGCAATGTGTACTTCACAGTTCAACATCCGAAGAAACGATTTCAAGGAAATCCAAAGTCGGTCAAACTCTCTGACATGTTTCAACACCTTTTCACGTGCACTGGGGTTTTTCATGTTGATATACGTCCATGGTGTACCCCCCGTGCACGGTAGGCTGATCCATATAAATGGTTTCACATCACCTTTGAAAGAGTTGACGTACTCTGCAATCCTCATTTGGTTTTCGACTTCGTTAAGATCAAATTCTTCAGTGAACTGTAGTACTTCACAACCTTCGGACCACTTTCGGTTGGTTTGGCTGAGTTTGGACTCGGGATGACAGCAAACTTCAACGATCAGTCTCTTGGTATCAGACTTGGCAGCGGGTCCCCCCGTGCTTGGTGCAGCGATAATTGGAGGTGTGATGGCCTCCGACGCCGACGCCAAAGCTTTCTGTGGGGAAACCTTCTTGGTGGGGGTCAATGCAAGAAGTTTGACAGCTAGTTTCCATTTCTCTGCATTAACAAATGGTTTCGTGAGAATGTCTGCAGCTTGGAGCATGCTTGGACCATGGACTAGCTTATACCACCTTCTTTTAAACTGTTCCTCCAGCCAAGATAGGTTAACTCGCTGTGTTTTGTCTGTATGTCGGAAAGTGGGTGATTTTCCGTTCTCAAGGATTCTAATGGTGGCCTGATTGTCCTCTACAAAAACACCTTTTATTGACCGTGGGGAAAACATTGAGATCATACATTCTCCCTCTTTCTCACGTCCTATGAACTCGTAGTCGGTGATGGCTTCACGGATTTCGATCGATTCGATGTTGTAGTCGGACTCATAGGGACCATAGACCCTGAAGAAAGTCTTGCCAGTCCACTCCCCGTTGATCGGGTAGTCAACTTTGACCTTCCAATTGTCCTGCATGAAGTCAACCATTCCGTCCTTGAGCATCACGGTGGTTCGAGCACATCCGATACGCTTAAGGTTAATGGGTGACTTGGACATGTCAACGGGTGTGAACAAATGTGACCTTGGCTTTGTGTGGACTCGGACGAGCAATCTTCTGCTTCTCATGAATTGCCAGTATTCCCCATTGGATTCTTTTTGGGTTTCAATGTCATGCCTTGGCAAACCTCCCGGTATGCTGTCTTTCGGTGCTCTCTCCCCCCCCGCGTTCTGGAGGTATGCCCACAAACCGGAGGAAGGTAGACCGACAGCTCTGAGGGATACGTTTGCACTGACAACTTCACTTTCGGTGCTTGACATTGCAACGGCAGTTTGTTTCTTACTGAATGCTGTGAGCGGGAAGTAAGTGTTGGGTCCAACTAGAACTAACAAACAACCACTGGTGGATCGATTGTCGTACTCCCCTGCATGGTCTGCGTCAGCAAACAGCCAAAGCCTACATTCACTGACCTTGTCCCCTATGAAAGCCCTTTGCTTGTGATCCAGGGTGGAATTAATGTAACAAATAAGTCTGTGCAGTGCCTTATCGCATTCTGCACTCCATTTTGTCACACGAGCTGCTAGGCCTTGGACGGCGCGCAGCAAGTCGAATCGTGCCATCCTGGCTGCAAATAGCACTTTCATAAGGACCCTTGCGGCTATTGGAGCCAATACGCCTTTGGTTTCCTTCTCATCGGCAATGGGCCGTGCAATTCTTTCTTCATGAAATGGTGTGGAAACTTGTTTCAAAGGCTTGGCATCCCTGCCAGCAAGTGAAATGTAACGTTCAACACATGATTTGAGGAAAGGCTCCATATCATATGTGAATGTAGTCACAGGCTTTTGCATGCAGGGTTGGTTCTCATACAGTTGGTCCATATAGGAAAAACCTTCCGCTCTAGCTTTCTTTTTGGCTCCGGACTTGTCCCTCTTGATGGTGGCCATGGCAGCCTTTGGATCTTTGCATGATGTTGGGAAGAAGTATGTTGTGCCAACCCATGAATCATTAAGACTACCCCCTTTGTTCACGTTGGATCTAATTCCAATAGTGTCCCATTGCTCAACTTCACTTCCATTGTTGTTACATGGGATTGCATTCGTGAATCTAAATGGGGTTAGTTGGCATGACTTAACCACTTCTTCATCGGGCAAAAATAGTTTCTTCCTTGGCTGCACATGGTGTCTCATGTAGACATCGTTGACGGTGTCGAGCTCCCAGAAATCCTGAGTCCTGTGGCACGCGGCGGCGGCAGGCGCGGCCGGATCGGCCAGTGACTTGTCAAAGACATGAGCATAAGGGTGATCCTCGACCTTGAGCTTTACGTTGTGTTGAGCTACATGGTCGCATCCAAGATATCTATTGACTTCCCCGGGAGTGTCCATGTCAATCTTTGATGCAATCAAACTCCATCCCTTTGACATGTTTTCTTTGGGACCGGACATCTTAAAATCGTCAACATACACGACAAGCAACAATTTGAGCTCTGGATGGAAAAACACCGAAGGCCACCCTTCCGGGTCTGGCATGATAAAGCCCACTAGTTTCAACATGGCTTCACAGTACTGTTCCCAGAGTCCCCCCGAGTCGGGGTGACCGTAAAGAGCGATGCGAAGCAATACAACTGGTCTAATGAACTTACCATGCCACTCTTTGGGCCATCGATCGGGTGGCAGTTCCACCCACGTCTCCACGCCCTTCCATAAGGCTTGAGTGTAAGCTTGTACTCCATCATTTTGTTGGGTTATGAATCCCGGTTGAGCTCCGTAGGCATCTACTGCTTTGCCAGCTTCCATGGTGGCAGGCGAAGACCCTAATTCCGAGAACAGGGCAACATCGGCACTTTCGTCCTTTACATTGTTGCCTTGAAATACTGTTCTTCCTTTGAATTTTCGGAGTTTATCTCCCTCGGGTAATTCACTTCCCTTTTCAACGCAAATCTCAAAGACCTTTCCTACATGGACCTTCTTCCCAGTCTTCTTGGCCTTGTCGGCAATGACCTTCCATTCGGCCACTGTTTCATATTGCCAGGCCTTCTTCTTTACCAGTTTGTCCCATTCTACATCTAAGGCTTGCTGGGCTTTGGGATTGGCTCTAATTTCCTTTTTCCCCACTGGCCTAGCCACCAAAGTGTTAACGGCTTTCTCCCCAGATTGGATTCCAAGCCTAATACACTTAACTCGATGCTTTTGAGGGTTCATCTGGCAAACAGGCATAGCTGGGATGAATTCGTAGGATAAACTTTCATCCAATTCATTTGGTGATTCCTTGAGAGTTCCGATCATGGGTACAGCTTTCACTCTTCTGGCGCGTTTCTTTTCCTTTTCTTCCAGGGCTAATTTCCGTTGCTCATCTGCAATCGATGCTCTTCTTTCTTTTTGAGACATTGCTTGCCATACAAACGGAGGGATGTCCTTTGGTTTACTTGAATTCTTGTACTTTCTTGCTTTAAATCCACCTGCGTCATAGAATGAGGGGTCATTAGTCCTGATTCTTTCAAGTTCCCCTGTGATCGGATTGATTACCTCGACTTCGGCATCAGGTACAGCTCCTCTGATGGGCTCGTCCACACGGTTCCTCAGGTCGATCGGTTCTTTTGAGAATATTGTGACAATTACTTCATGAACCTCAATGTCCTTTTCAAGGTCTTCGACCGGAGGATCAATCTTCAAGTTTTCTTCGTGGACATGCCATGATTCATCATCTTTAATGCATGTTGTTCGAAACGGAAAATCGGCTGCATCAAAGTCGGGAGATGGACCTATACACTGATTGTCGATGATCCGAACATTCACCTTGCAATTGGCGTATTCGTACCATGCTTCCTTGTGATCAACATGCTTGAAAAATTCCAACCATCCCTGGTGATAAACTGCGGATGCACTGGATTGTTGTACAGGCTGTCCAGCTTCAATGTCAGTAATTGATCTCTTGACTGGGCCTGGCTCCCGCACAGGCTGAGCATCTTGCTCTTCCGGTGGCGGTAATGCATCCTGTTCATCACACAGTTGGTTTGGTTTCAAGCTACCGTCTCGGATGGCATCGGCACGTTTACGACAGGGAAACTCAATCTTCTCAGGTACTGAAACCTTTAACACTCTCAACACTGTGACGGATTGGTCAAAATCTGCATCATTGATTTGTTTTAGAGAAGCTACTGCAAATTCTTTTCTCCAATGGAAGCCGGGATGGATGACATACCCTAGGAAGATACCAGGTTCAGTGGTCGGTTCGAACTTCATCTGTTTCTTTGGTTTCTTCCGAGGTCCAGTCCAATAGTCCACCTTACATCCAAACGGGATAAGTGGTCCTTCGAAGTCTGTCCCAAACCTCAATTTCCATGGTGTGTCCTTTCCAGTCCCATCTGGTGCCGTGTCATGCATGATGCACCAATGTCTGGCAGCGTAAGGCCAATATCCATGGTGAAGTCCTGCTTGAAGCAAATTGGCACGTGTTCCTTCCAATGTGGACCGCACGGCTCGTTCGGCGATGGCGTTGGATGTCGAAATGTAATCTTTACTGATTTGATGCCTGATCTTCATAGCTCTCATAGCTGCTACAATTTCTGGGGCATTATCACTGTAAAAGATTCCAATTTTCTCCAAGTCATCAACGAAATGTTTCATTGCCAGTGTGGTGTTGGAAGTGTCACGGCGTGCAACAGGGTAAACATATCGAAAATCAGTGGCAACATCCTTAAGTACCATTGCGACCCTATCTCCATCAACACCAGTCTCAGGGTCCGATTTGGCAATAAGGTAGTCACCTGTGACATGATCCCCAAACTTCTTTGCATCGACCATGGATGATCCTCCTTTAGAGTAACCGGGTGGCTTGTACATCTTGGCCTTTGTACAGACATCACAGTAGGGATTCTTGGGAATATGGGTAAGCATGTGTCGTTTGCTCTTGGCTTCAGCCTTGAGTGCAGCCTTACCCCTCTCCCTACGTCTTTCCATTTCCGGGTCACGACGGACTTCATCCCTTGAATCATCAACCTCATCAGGCTGGACCTCCCGGTCAGCTGGTGCAATGCCTTCTTCATCGGAGGGCGCATCGGCACCGGGATCGCCTGAGATGTCGGGTACAAGGTCGTCGTCAAGCTTTGATGAATTACCACCTACGACAGCGGGTTCGTCATCTTCATATTCTTCGTCGTAAAGGTCTGGTGACGGGGGAGAATCCTCCTCTTCTATAAAGCCTGACTCGGACCCTGATGAACTAGCCATCACTTTAACTCTCTTCATGGGAGAACCATTGTTGCTGGATTTTGCCACTGTGGACACACTTGATTGATTTGATTTGGAACATAGATATGGGACATAGTCTCTGACTTCAAGTTCAATGACCTTCCCATCAGGTGAAACTAATTTCGGCTTCTCATTCTTGGAGCCCCTCCACGCGAAGTCAAACCCATCCTCAACGCACCTGAGACCAACTGATAAAACAGGAGGTGAACTTTGCACTAGGTACGGTGATACTGTAGCATTCAGCTCTGGGACTCTCACCTTGCCCTGCTTCATAGATGAACTTTCCCCATTTGCAGTGATGAGACGGATTGGATTATCGGAAAAGTAACCATAATGATCCGGCACATGGTGATCAGTGAGTAAATCTTGTGCACTACCGGTATCAACAATCCAATCGATAGAGGCTTCGAAACATCCATCAACGTACTCCTCGGATTTGGCAGGCATTGCAACTATTTCCTTTGGAATGCAGTGATCACAACCAAACATGGTGTCACATTCATAGTTGCATTTGCAGAAATTATTCATTAACGAATTCTTGACTGCTCCTGCCAACATGTTCGCTGACAAACATGCGTCCTCTACGTCTCTTCGGTCAAACTCAAATGGAAAGTTGATAGGAAATGTTCTCTTGAATCTTCTTGAAGCTGGGTTGATAGGCTCAAGGTCCCCCTTGGCAATGACTTGATACACATCATGATTGGTGTCAAATGTCACTGCTGGGCAACTGATCACGTCAATGGGTGGCATCAGGCATGCATTGGATACGGATGCTAACATCGAGGCAATCAGGCAGACGGCTGCTGGGGAAGCTTTGGGAGTGTCAGGCTTGCCTCTATTCCCCTTTGGGGAGCGGCTATTCCTGGGACTCCTTGATCCCTTCTGCTTTGGCGAGCGGTCCCTGCCTTTTCCTGGACTTCTGCTGTTCCTTCGTCTGGATCCTTTCGAGTCATTGGACGAAGGCCTGGCAGGAGTGGCAGCACGAGGAGACTTGGTTTGCTTACCCTCGTGACTAAACCTACAGTCATTGCCTCTGTTGCATCTTCCCTGTTTCCAAAACTTGCATGGCTGCTTCTTCTTGCTCTTGTCGTTCTTACCCCTTGACGACGATCTGCCACGGTCGGATGAGGGTCGTGATTGACTTCTGTCTTTCTTTGGTGGAGGCTTTTCATGTTTGAATGGGCAGGCATCATTCGTGCAGGTCCCTTTATTCCATTTGACACAGTATCCCTTTGGAATGTACCCAGTCTTCTCACCCACAGCCGGAGCTGCGCTGGACGACGAGGCACCGAGGGTCCTTGCAACTCGTTCACGATTGGACTCGAGTCGCTCCCTATCCAAGTAGCGGCGAACTGCTGTCACTAGGAAATCGTAGGACTTCTTGTCAGTCCCATCCTCAGCACGATGATATTCCTGCAAGTCGTGTGCTATTGCTTTACTGGTCTTGACTTGGTTAAAGAACAGAGTCTCCAGAATGCTAATCTCAGGAACCTTGGGGATGCCAGCCATCACTTGATCCCAATTGCTGATGAATCCGCGTAGGTTGTCACCCTTGAGTTTGACACTGAACAAATCCTGTAGTGAGTAGGTTGCTCCATGTTTGATGTTGGTACTGAAACGTTCATGCATCATAAACAGTACTTGCCGGCCCCTCACATAACGATGGTTTGTTGCTTCAGTCTCTTTATAAGTGTCAACCTTTCTCGCAAAATCACCTGTGAGAATATTGGTGAGCGCGGACAGCAATTTGGCATCCAATGTGGTGAACTTTCCTACGTCACGAAGAGTTCCGATTGTTTGGCCTTCTTTCCAGGTCTCACTTATCCAATCAAATGCTTTGTCAGGGTCAGTAGATGCCGACATTACAGCCTCCCTTGTCCGGATCCTCCAATTTCTATATGACTCCGCATGGGGAAAAGCTGGAACTTTGACAGTGTCGGCTTCTTTGACCTTGTTCTTTTCATGTGACTGGTCCCTGGAGCTGCTGAACATGGCTCTCATGCGGCGGATGAATCGATGGTCACTATCATCAGAGTTGTACCCATCCCCGTCTCCATCATCATCATCACCGTCCCCAGGCCCACCTCCCGGTGGGCGTCGGCTCCCCGGAGGGGGCTTCTTCCCACGATTGTCCTTACCACGCCTGCTGTCATGATCTGCCTGTGAGTCCTTGTCATCATCCGGAGGGTCAGGTCCTTGTGGTTTTCCTCCGGCATCCGATGGTGCAACACTTGTTGGTGGATACGTTGGGGACCTAAGACCGGTTATATCAGAGACAGGATCCTTATTATCCACTGGTGCATTTCCTTCCGGGGCAAGCATTTCCCATATATCTTGGTTGGGTTCCGCTGGTTTGGATGCACTTGCTGATGCAAATGATGGCAACGGTGCAGAGTACTTGACCTCAGTGGACGGCGGCATGACGGCAGTGGCGGTTTGGACAATTGGAATCGGCATTGGGCCTATTGTGTCAAGGAGTTTACTCATCCTCATGTTCATGGATTCGGTTTGCAACTGTTGGGCCTTTATTTGCTCACTTTGTTGCTTGATGATGGATTCAAGTTGGGACATCTGCATCTTACGGTGTTCATCCTGGCGTTCATAGTGATCCCTGAGTGATTGGATTTGTTGTTCCTTCGTTGCATTTGACTGTCTGGCATTTCCGTCTAAAACCCTTTTATATACTTCCCCTTGTTGGGCCAATTCTTCACGAAATTGATTTTCCCGACTCTCTGCGAGCAACATCATCTGTTGCATCCGGGCACTCGCAGCTTGTTCTTCTGCATGGAACCTACCGCTCATTTCGGACATCATCGATTGCACCATGTTTTCAGTGTTGGCTAATGCCTCTCGATGACGTGCTTCGGCAACCTGCTCAACCATCTGTGTAATTGCAGGGTCGTGTGAATTCACGTACACTTCATTGTTTTGTACCTGTCGTAGATTCATGGTGTTATTCACCTCAGTCATCTCATGGTGGTGTACCTCGACAGTGTTGGATCGTACATGATGTGAGCCGGCAGGCATGCCCTCCCGGGATGCGTGAAAGTCATATCCACGGTGTGAAAACCTCTGGGCTCCACTTTGGGGCACAACGGCGCCTGGTGGAAGCGGGACACGGACCTCACGTTTATCACTGCGGGAGCGTTCTGAAGGAGTCTGGGAAGTTGTGTGACTTGGTACATCGTTTCCAGTTTGGCCATTGTCTGCATCCTCAATCGCCATGGCTTGATGGATCCCGGAATCGCGCGAGCCCTCTGGAGATGGTTTTCCAAAGGGGGCAGACATTTACTTACAAAAGGAAAGTACCTGGCGATACGGCTGATAACCTATACTTAGAGGTTAAACAGCCTCAATCAACCAGCAACGCCGCACACTGTTTTTCTTGAGCCATAAGATGTCAGATACTATACACATACCACGTGGCACAACTTTACATGGGAGGTATAGAATACTAGTTATTAGCATCATGTAAAAACAATAGGTACTGATCCATACCCAAATGAGGAGAAACAACGGGATCGACAGGATTTACCCTCGATGAGTGAACTATTGAAAGTTTGCGAACTTGAAAATGGCCATCGCTGATTTAGCCATTAAAAATGAGGACAAAACCACGGGATTTTTTGCAGAAGTGCTGCTCTTGCAATCCACATATGGGTTTGACAAACCCAAATAGATGAGATCACCAGGGCCCAGGGTTTACCGGAACCACAGGCTGACAGGATTTAAGGGGTTTCCCAAAATGTTCAGATCCACGGTGAGTGCACCACGTTACCAAGTACAGTATGCATGGAATAGACCTCAAGTAGCAAACAGTATGAGAGGGGTTTCTTTCACAGTTTGGAGATTCATCGCAACTTAGAGCCATGCGGACCACGCAAGGGGAAGCCCCAGCTTGTCCTCCTTCAAGCTCACTGGTGCCTGTCTGGCTTCTTTGAAGATCGGCACCGCCTGAAAGCTGAGGGGCTGCCAACAGCGGGCTGAGACATCCCCAGCGAATGATTCTAACAGACAATCTGGTGATTTTGATGATCCAAAAAAAGACAAAAGTCGTTATGTCGTCATTGACTTTCCTCTCCCCACCAGCATATATCCAGCATATCTAGGCCCTCCTCTTCCTCACTGTTTTGCAAACGAACTTCAGTGGCCTCCAAACTCACCAGGCCGAACAAGAAGATGTAGATCAGCGCTCCTAAGCGGTTCAACATCGACGCATCCTCAGTCGCTGAGAGATCACCCACAGGTTGCTGGCGGCATGGAGACCTATCATCTCACAGATGTGCTAAAACAGCAGCAAAATGCAGAAATTACACCGGCATAGACCCCAGATAGAAAAGATTTCAGAAACGTTTTTTCATGCCGCGTCAATGGGTCAGTGATATAGCGGATGTCTCGACAAGCAAATTTCACAGCATCTGCCTACTCAATTGACATGAGCAAATATTCTTTGAAAACGCGTTTTGTTTTGTCTTGTTGAATGATCAAAATGGTGATGCGTTTGGACTCAAAGATTTGCGTGTCGGATTGACATCACAGAGGTTGCGTCAAAAAAAAAGTGTTTTTCCTTGCCGCCCACGATTTCCAACCTTGGAACCTTGAAATCGCATTTGAAGGCAATCCTGGTTCCCAACGATTCAAGCAAGTCTGGCAACTTTCATGCATCGGTATTGCTTGGTTTTGCGTAATGGGCCGGTAACAGAACGCTTTGTTTGGCTTAATGTTAGAATGATATGAAAACATGTTCTTTACAGCCTTTTGTTTTGCTTAATGGGCCGGCATCAAATTGCTTATCTGTAACACGCGGCAGTCCTTGGTAAACGCACACGCCTCCATATGACTAGGTTCCTATTTTCATCACGCTTTGATGTTTTCATATGACTAGGTTCTCCACGCTTGCCACTGAACAAAACCATTAACGGACTACGATTGCAGAAATTGCCGCTTCCACGAAATTGAAACTCATGGTTCCCAACGTGGCAACCATAGATTTCCATTTCCAGCAATTACCAAATCCTGAAATTTGGAACTCATGGTTGCCAACCTCGTAACCAAAGGTTACCATTGCAAGGAACTGCCGGCTCCCACACCTTGAAACTCATGCTTCCCAACCTGGGAACCAGAGGTTACCATTGCAACGAATTGCCGGTTCCCAGAGGTTAGAACTTATGTTTTCGAAGCTAAGCGGCCATCATTGTAAGGAACTGCGGGTTGCGAAAGCTTGATAGTCATGGTTCCAAACCTAAAATAGCATACGTTACCAGTGGAAGGAACTGTTGATTCCCAAAAGGTAGAACTCATGGTTCTTAATGTTGTTTTGTTTTGTTTACTGAGCCGGTAACAGAACCTTTTGTTTTGCTTAATGGACCGGTAGCGGAATGTTTGCGTTTGGCTGATGGGCCGGCAAAAAAATGTTTTTGCACGAAAAAGGTGCATGTTAAAATGATATGAAGACATTTTCTTTACAACTTTATGGTTTTGCTTAATCGACCGGTAAAGAACGCTTTGTTTTGCTTAATGGGCCGGTACCGGAATGTTTGCGTTTGGTTCATGGCAAGGAACTGCCGGTTTCAAAAGGTTGGAACTCACGGTTGCCAACGTGGGAACCACAGGTTACCATTGCAAGGAACTGCCGGTTCCCACAGGTTGGAACTCCTGGTTCCCAACCTGGGAACCATGGGTTACCATTGCAAGCAACTGCCGGTTACCAGAGGTTGGAACTCATGCTTCCCAACCTGGGAACCATAGGTTACCATGAACTGCCGGTTCCCAGACCTTGAAACTTACGGTTCCCAACCTGGGAACCATGGGTTACCATTGCAAGCAACTGCCGGTTACTAGAGGTTGGAACTGATGGTTCCCAACGTGGGAACCAAAGGTTACCATGGCAAGGAACTGCCGGTTCCCAGACGTTGAAACTTACGGCTCCCAACCTGGGAACCAGAGGTTACCATTGCAACGAATTGCCGGTTCCCAGAGGTTAGAACTTATGTTTTCGAAGCTAAGCGGCTATCATTGTAAGGAACTGCGGATTCCCAAAGCTTGAAACTCATGGTTCCAAACCTGAAAGTCGAAGGATCTGTTGATTCCAAAAAGTTAGAACTCATGGTGCTTAATGTTGTTTTGTTTTGTTTACTGAGCCGGTAACAGAACTTTTTGTTTTGCTTAGTGGACCGGTAGCTGAATGTTTGCGTTTGGCTGATGGGCCGGCATAAAAATGTTTTTGCACGAAAAAAGTGCATGTCAAAATGATATGAAAACATTTTCTTTACAACTTTATGGTTTTGCTTAATGGACCGGTACAGAACGCTTTGTTTTGCTTAATGGGCCGGTACCGGAATGTTTGCGTTTGGTTCATGGCAAGGAAGTGCCGGTTTCAAAAGGTTGGAACTCACGGTTGCCAACGTGGGAACCACAGGTTACCATTGCAAGGAACTGCCGGTTCCCACAGGTTAGAAGTCATGGTTCCCAACCTGGGAACCAGAGGCTACCTTTGCAAGCAACTGCCGGTTACCAGAGGCTGGAACTCATGCTTCCCAACCTGGGAACCACAGGTAACCATTGCAAAGAACTTCCGGTTCCTAAAGGTTGGAACTCATGGTTCCCAACGTGGGAACCAAAGGTTACCATGGCAAGGAACTGCCGGTTCCCAGACGTTGAAACTTGCGGTTCCCAACTTGGGAACCAGAGGTTACCATTGCAACGAATTGACGGTTCCCAGAGGTTAGAACTCTATGTGTTCGAAGCTAAGGGCTATCATTGTAAGGAACTGCGGGTTCCCAAAGCTTGAAACTCATGGTTCCAAACCTGAAAAAGCATACGTTACCAGTGGAAGGATCTGTTGATTCCAAAAAGTTAAAACTCATGGTTCTTGATGTTGCTTTGTTTTATTTACTGAGCCGGTAACAGAACCTTTTGTTTTGCTTAATGGACCGGTAGCTGAATGTTTGCGTTTGGCTGCTGGGCCGGCATAAAAATGTTTTTGCACGAAAAGGTGCATGTCAAAATGATATGAAAACAGTTTCTTTACAACTTTATGGTTTCGCTTAATCGACCGGTAAAGAACGCTTTGTTTTGATTAATGGACCGGTACCGGAATGTTTGCGTTTGGTTCATGGCAAGGAACTGCCGGTTCCCAAAGGTTGGAACTCACGGTTGCCAACGTGGGAACCACAGGTTACCATTGCAAGGAGCTGCCGGTTCCCAGAGGTTGGAACTGATGGTTCCCAACCTGGGAACCATGGGTTACCATTGCAAGCAACTGCCGGTTACAGAGGTTGGAACTCATGCTTCCCAACCTGGGAACCATAGGTTACCATTGCAAAGAACTTCTAGTTCCTAAAGGTTGGAACTGATGGTTCCCAACGTGGGAACTAAAGGTTACCATGGCAAGGAACCCAGACGTTGAAACTTACGGTTCCCAACCTAAGAGCAGAGGCTACCATTGCAAGGAATTGCCGGTTCTCAGAGGTTAGAACTTATGTTTCGAAGCTAAGCGGCTATCATTGTAAGGAACTGCGGGTTCCCAAAGCTTGAAACTCATGGTTCGAAACCTGAAAAAGCATACGTTACCAGTGGAAGGATCTGTTGATTCCAAAAAGTTAGAACTCATGGTTCTTAATGTTGTTTTGTTTTATTTACTGAGCCGGTAACAGAACCTTTTGTTTTGCTTCATGGACCGGTAGCGGAATGTTTGCGTTTGGCTGATGGGCCGGCAAAAAAATGTTTTTTGCACGAAAAAGGTGCATGTTAAAATGATATGAAGACATTTTCTTTACAACTTTATGTTTTTGCTTAATGGACCGGTACAGAACGCTTTGTTTTGCTTCATGGGCCGGTACCGGAATGTTTGCGTTTGGTTCATGGCAAGGAAGTGCCGGTTTCAAAAGGTTGGAACTCACGGTTGCCAACGTGGGAACCACAGGTTACCATTGCAAGGAACTGCCGGTTCCCAGAGGTTGTAACTCCTGGTTCCCAACCTGGGAACCATGGGTTACCATTGCAAGGAACTCCCGGTTCCCAGAGGTTGGAACTCCTGGTTCCCAACCTGGGAACCATGGGTTACCATTGCAAGCAACTGCCGGTTCCCAGAGGTTGGAACTCCTGGTTCCCAACCTGGGAACCATGGGTTACCATGGCAAGGAACTGCCGGTTCCCAGACGTTGAAACTTACGGCTCCCAACCTGGGAACCAGAGGTTACCATTGCAACGAATTGACGGTTCCCAGAGGTTAGAACTCTATGTGTTCGAAGCTAAGGGCTATCATTGTAAGGAACTGCGGGGTCCCAAAGCTTGAAACTCATGGTTCCAAACCTGAAAAAGCATACGTTACCAGTGGAAGGATCTGTTGATTCCAAAAAGTTAAAACTCATGGTTCTTAATGTTGTTTTGTTTTGTTTACTGAGCTGGTAACAAAACCTTTTGCTTTGCTTAATGGACCGGTATCGGAATGTTTGCGTTTGGCTGCTGGGCCGGCATAAAAATGTTTTTGCACGAAAAGGTGTATGTTAAAATGATATGAAAACATTTTCTTTACAACTTTATGGTTTTGCTTAATCGACCGGTAAAGAACGCTTTGTTTTGATTAATGGACCGGTACCGGAATGTTTGCGTTTGGTTCATGGCAAGGAACTGCCGGTTTCAAAAGGTTGGAACTCACGGTTGCCAACGTGGGAACCACAGGTTACCATTGCAAGGAACTGCCGGTTCCCAGAGGTTGGAACTCCTGGTTCCCAACCTGGGAACCAGAGGTTACCATTGCAAGCAACTGCCGGTTACCAGAGGTTGGAACTCATGCTTCCCAACGTGGGAACCATAGGCTACCATTGCAAAGAACTTCCGTTTCCTAAAGGTTGGAACTGATGGTTCCCAACGTGGGAACCAAAGGTTACCATGGCAAGGAACTGCCGGTTCCCAGACCTTGAAACTTACGGTTCCCAACCTGGGAACCAGAGGTTACCATTGCAAGGAATTGCCGGTTCCCAGAAGTTAGAATTTATGTTTTCGAAGCTAAGCGGCTTTCATTGTAAGGAACTGCGGGTTCCCAAAGCTTGAAACTCATGGTTCCAAACCTGAAAAAGCATACGTTACCAGTGGAAGGATCTGTTGATTCCAAAAAGTTAGAACTCATGGTTCTTAATGTTGTTTTGTTTTGTTTACTGAGCCGGTAACAGAACCTTTTGTTTTGCTTAATGGACCGGTAGCGGAATGTTTGCGTTTGGTTGATGGGCCGGCATAAAAATGTTTTTGCACGAAACAGGTGCATGTCAAACTGATATGAAAACATTTTCTTTACAACTTCATGGTTTTGCTTAATGGACCGGTACAGAACGCTTTGTTTTGCTTAATGGACAGGTACCGGAATGTTTGCGTTTGGTTCATGGCAAGGAACTGCCGGTTCCCAAAGGTTGGAACTCACGGTTGCCAACGTGGGAACCACAGGTTACCATTGCAAGGAACTGCCGGTTCCCAGAGGTTGGAACTCCTGGTTCCCAACCTGGGAACCAGAGGTTGCCATTGCAAGGAACTGCCGGTTACCAGAGGTTGGAACTCATGCTTCCCAACCTGGGAACCACAGGTAACCATTGCAAAGAACTTCCGGTTCCTAAAGGTTGGAACTCATGGTTCCCAACGTGGGAACCAAAGGTTACCATGGCAAGGAACTGCCGGCTCCCACACCTTGAAACTCATGCTTCCCAACTTGGGAACCAGAGGTTACCATTGCAACGAATTGCCGGTTCCCAGAAGTTAGAATTTATGTTTTCGAAGCTAAGCGGCTATCATTGTAAGGAACTGCGGGTTCCGAAAGCTTGAAACTCATGGTTCCAAACCTGAAAAAGCATACGTTACCAGTGGAAGGATCTGTTGATTCCAAAAAGTTCGAACTCATGGTTCTTAATGTTGTTTTGTTTTGTTTACTGAGCCGGTAACAGAACCTTTTGTTTTGCTTAATGGACCGGTAGCGGAATGTTTGCGTTTGGCTGATGGGCCGGCATAAAAATGTTTTTGCGCGAAAAATGCGCATGTCAAAATGATATGCGACAACGAAAAAGCGCCTTGGCTCAGACCCTGCACAGCACCCTGCACAGCACCCTGCACAGCACCCTGCACAGCACCCTTCACAGCACCCTGCACAGCGCCTTTGCCAGACTTCGGCACCGCAATCTGGACAGCACCCTGCACAGCACCCTGCACAGCACCTTGGCCAGACTTCGCCACCGCAGTCTGGACAGCACCCTGCACAGCACCCTGCACAGCGCCTTTCCTTTGCCACACTTCGCCACCGCAGCCTGGACAGCACCCTGCACAGCACCCTGCACAGCACCTTTGCCAGACTTCGCCACTGAAGTCTGAACAGCACTCTGCACAGCACCCTGCACAGCACCTTGGCCAGACTTCGCCACTGCAGTCTGAACAGCACCCTGCACAGCACCCTGCACAGCACCCTGCACAGCACCTTTGCCAGACTTCGGCACCGCAATCTGGACAGCACCCTGCACAGCACCTTTGCCAGACTTCGCCACCGCACTAGTACAACACCCTGCACACAGCACCACAGCGCCACAGCACCCTGCAAAGCACCCTGCACAGCACCCTGCACAGCACCTTTGACAGACTTCGCCACCACAGCACCCTGCACAGCACCCTGCACAGCACCCTGCACAGCACCTTTGCCAGACTTCGCCACTGCAGTCTGGACAGCACCCTGCACAGCACCCTGCACAGCACCCTGCACAGCACCTTTGCCAGACTTCGCCACCGCACTCTGGACAACACCCTGCACAGCACCCTGCGCAGCACCCTGCACAGGGACCTTTGCCAGACTTCGCCACCGCCGTCTGAGCAACACCATCCACAGCCCCTGGACAGCACCCTGCACAGCACCCTGCACAGCACCCTGCACAGCACCCTGCACAGCACCCTGCACAGCACCTTTGACAGACTTCGCCACCACAGCACCCTGCACAGCACCCTGCACAGCACCCTGCACAGCACCTTTGCCAGACTTCGCCACTGCAGTCTGGACAGCACCCTCTGCACAGCACCCTGCACAGCACCTTTGCCAGACTTCGCCACCGCACTCTGGACAACACCCTGCACAGCACCCTGCGCAGCACCTTTGCCAGCTTCGCCACCGCAGTCTGGACAGCACCCTGCACAGCACCCTGCACAGCACCTTTGCCAGACTTCGCCACCGCAGTCTCTGCACAGCACCCTGCACAGCACCCTGCACAGCACCTTTGCCAGACTTCGCCACTGCAGTCTGGACAACACCCTGCAGAGCACCCTGCACCCTGCACAGCACCCTGCACAGCACCCTGCACAGCACCTTTGCCAGACTTCGCCACCGCAGTCTGGACAGCACCCTGCACAGCACCGTGCACAGCACCTTTGCCAAACTTCGCCACCGCAATCTGGACAGCACCCTGCACAGCACCGTGCACAGCACCTTTGCCAAACTTCGCCACCGCAGTCTGGACAGCACCCTGCACAGCACCTTTGCCAGATTTCGCCACCGCAGTCTAGACAGCACCCTGCACAGCACCCTGCACAGCACCTTTGCCAGACTTCGCCACCGCAGTCTGGACTGCACCCTGCACAGCACCCTGCACAGCACCTTTGCCAGACTCGCCACCGCAGCAGCACCCTGCACAGCACCCTGCACAGCACCCTGCACAGCACCCTGCTCAAAAGTTCGCCACCGAAGACCCCACCTTTGAGAAGTAAGAACTCCTATAGCTTGCCAGCTATCTGGGGAAAAAGAAAAATTCATTCCCAACATTTCGTGGTACTCATGGCATATATGGTACTTGGATCACCTTTTCTGGGGTTACTGTATTGGAGGTCCCAGTTGCATGGGCACTTGGATCACCGATCATCCTGCAAATAAAAACCATCACATGCCGAGCCGAGCTTCTGCCATGAGAACTAAGACTGGAATGGCTCCACAGCCACCACCCATCATGCAGGTATACTTGCACAGGCCTTCGGTGCGAAGGAAAAAGGTGGTGATTTAACAATTTAACCATGATGAGTTGGTGATTTCATAGGATATATGATACAACCAACCAACTAGTGGGTTATGTGGGTCCGGCTGAGTCTGAAGGTGGAGGATTTACCTCGCAAAAATAACAAGTTCAATGATGAAATGGATGTCAAAACAGGGCAACAGGGGTGGTTTTCCAAACATGTTTAAAGCACCGCCGTAGAACGAGGAAGACACGGGGCCTTCCACGACGATCCTCTCCTCTTTGTAGGGATAAATCTCCTGGCGCCAATTGATGATACACTTCGGGTTTATATGAATGGCAGTAAAGTAGCTAAAAGAAAATCAATCAATAATCAATCAGTCTCAATCTGTCAATGAATCAATGAGTGAATAGATATATAAATAACCAATAATAAACACAAAATTGTCTGACATGATTAGAATCAGTTAGACATATACACACACACATTGCACGTATTGCACGTATCATATATCCTGTTCTTTCGCCGCAGGTCCTGCCGAGCCGACTCGAAGGCGATGACGCACGAGGCGGCGCCCCAGTAGGACAACATCAGCATTAGCACCTGCAGCTGACACCGGTAGCTGAGACCGGAGGAAAAAAATAGACCAGAGTTGTTTCTCTGTTCGTTTCTTTGTGGATCGCATGTTTTGCAGTTCGTTACAACCTGCATGTCTATACATGTGTCAGTTTAACTGTGCATGAGAGTTGCTCAGAGGTCCGCCGAAAAAAGGTTCAGAAAGGTACAACAAAAAACGCGGAAGGAAGTACCCAAAAAAACAAAAGCACTACAAACACACCATAAATCTGTGCATCTTCCCATTTTTCCTATCAGCCACCTTATCTGTCACCTCCACTTGCGCCAAGGGCTGCCCCACGTGCAGCCAAGACACGAACCAAACTTCTAAGGGCCCTGAGGCATCACCTAAAAAAGGCTCGGAATCCAGGCAAGAAACCCCCAAACTACGCGGGAATCCCGATGGAATATGAGGATAAATCAAACCTCTCAGTGTCCGAATCCACCGTTACAATCCTATCCTCAACGGATTGGCTAAAGGGAAAACCCAAAAAGGAAAGTCTTGATTTACCAATTCGATAGGTGACTTTCTTGCAGCTTTCCGGAGAACCAAGCCATTGATATCCCCAGCTCGTGTTGGTGAAATACCCACCCCCCATCTCCAGCGATCTCAGGGACGAGGTGCTAGGAGGCATGTAGACCACACTGGCCGCCGTGGCTGCGATGATGCAATGGGTCAACAGAAAGGGCGCACGTTTGCCCCAACGATCTAAGGGGAAGAAACGCGAGAGACATCCGCGATCCTGATGGAAGGCAGAAAATCGAACCATCAAATGGATTTTATAATGGAAAATCCAATTCAAATGGATGATTTAGGGGTACCCCCAATTTTGGGAAACCATATATAACTATAATTACTCAATAATTGGATCCTGCAGATGCACTGGGCATTGCCAATGCAACAAAGGAAAGCGCAAAGAAGGAAACACTCTCAACAGAACTGGCTGCAGGGCCCTAGCATGTACATGGAGGCCCCGAAGACCGAGCTGCCGGAGCGGGGGCATACGTGACCCAAAAGCCAGAAGGCAAGCGGGCCCACATGAGCTGATCCGAAAAGAAACCAAACAGCCACAGGCATCTTGCAGAGTGGCTGAGGGCGCGAGTCAATCCGCGCGCTCCAGCTGCTGACAGCCGAAACAAAGGTGAAAGTGAAACCAAGGGGTGAGAATGGCTTGGCTCAGACGTGGTCAGAAGAGCAAGAAGAGCGGATAGTGAACCCATCAGTCCAGGCGCCGTAAGACAGCTCTAGCGTTTTCGCGCTGCAGCGCGATGCCCAAAGATTGAAGGAGGCGCTGCGATTCCACAGAGCTGCCTTCACCAGTGCGGGCGGAAATCGCCTCACCCAGGGAGCGCCAGGTTTTCAAAGCAATGAGCCCCCAGCCACGCACGCTTCAACAATGAGCGGGACGAACTGGAGCCCTTCACTCGTGCAGGCTTCCAAAGTGCTTAGATGCTGGCATTTCCGTGCTTCATAGTCCGTAGATGCTCTGCTGCCATCTGTCACGGATGCAGTCAGAACACTCTGTCTCATGCCCGAAGTGACGGCAATGTCGAACGCAGCTGGACCATGCATGTAGGTGCCAGTTGGGGAGCCAGACATCGGCTGGCCGGCGACCACCGCCACAGGGCTGCTCCCCATCTTCTGGGCCACCTTGAAGTTCAGGGCGTGGAGGTAGGAGGTTGGGCTTTTCAACCTCGGGCTGAAGGCCTGCTGTTTTTGCCCGCCCTGCCAAAATGTTTCTGAGCTGATGGTGCCGCTTGACCCGATCGCCGCCACAGGGACAAACGCGCGCATGGTCACCAAATCTGTCACAGGTGCCATCGCAGAGGGGGCAAGGGGTGTCAGAATCAGACACCGGCAAGCGGAGCCGCAAGCGAACCATGGTCCGAAAGAGCGGGGTCACCACGTGAAGCCCCAAGGCGGCGCTTGGGAGAGCATGGAGCCACGCCCCCGCGCCTTCTTGCTGCAAGAGCTGAAGATGCGCCCGAAAGGCTTCCCGACCAGGAGCAGGGGCTGCGAGCCTGGCGACCACAACACGGTCCAGCGCGCGTGACAACTCTTGTTGTCTGACAGGTTGCGGGCTGGGACCGGGAGGTGGTCGGCCGGCGGAAGGGCCATGTTCACCAGGTTGAGAGCAGCATTGAAGTCAGGGTCGTAGCCTGGATCCATATCTTTGCACAGTGGCACAGTAGCCCACAAAGACGCAGCGTAGCCGGCGACACTGTGCCGGGCCACGCTGCGGAGCCCGAGCCCACCACACCGAGTGGAGAGTGTTGCTTGGAGCCACGCTTCCGCAGTGAGGGGCCCGCTGCAAGCCACTTGGAGGCATCGATCCTCTAACAGCATTGTCAAACGCTTCCAGGGAGGGGCCGAGCCCATCAGGAGGGGTGACTCTGATGGAGTAAGCCATCCGACAATGGGAGGCACAGTGGCGGAGGAGCAAGAGGGCAGTTTGGGCATCCGGCAAGACAGCCAAAGCGTCTAACAGTGGCAAAGCTTTGGCAACTCGCTCCGATGTTGTGAACTGGTTGCAGAAACTACCGTCTCCAATGGGCGCCCCCAAAAGGCTGAAGGTCCCGGTTTGGTTGAGGGGAATGCCGGGTGGGAAGAAGCTCATGTCCACAGTGGCTGCGGCCCCTCCACACGCCACAAGCTCGCATTTGGCAGGGTTGACTTGCAGTCCGACCTGGCGTGCGGCCGCCGTCAAGCGGACCAAGCCTGCGCTGACTTGACGATATGAGCCAGCCAAGCACACATCATCCAGGTAAGCCACCACCAGCGAGGGTCGAAGTTCCGGAGGGCCTCCACGGGCAGCAGCTTGGAGGGCCGGCTGTAATGCCAAGGAGACCAACAAAGGGCCAAGCGGGTCACCTTGTTGCACCCCGGTTTCAGAACTCAAAGGCGAGCCTTGGAACAGCAGCCGCGAGTGGAGACCATAGCACCACTCTGCCCAAGGGGACAAGCCTGGCAGGCGGAGGCGAGTCTCGCGGAGGAGAGAAGCCCGGTCGACCGTGTTGAAGGCATTGCTGAAATCAATTTTGAGGAGAACCTGTTCAGCCTGCCCTGCATGCCTCTGCGCCCAGTGTCGGGCAGTGTGGACAACTGCTTCAGTGCCATTGCGGGTGGCCACCCCAACTTGTAAAGGGCATAGAAGATCCCGGGCAGAGTTGCGCACGTCGGAGCAAAGGCACTTGGCAGTCAGCCGCCGCAAAACTTCCCCAACCGCGATGGGTCGCACATCGTCAACCCCTTTCGGCAATGCGTGTAAGGAAGCTCCAGCAAGGTGGGGCGCAATCTCGGCCAGCGCCTCTCCGCGGACGAGCAGCTTCACAACATCGGCAAGCTGGACAGCCATCTCGTCTCCATGAGGGGAAGCGAGGGCCTCGCGAAGGTGGTCACCTCGAAGGCCAGTGGGGCCCGCGCCTTTTTCACGGCTGAAGGAGCGGATGGCATGGATGACGTCCTCCACCGCCAGCTCGGGCACAGCAGCTAAGGCAGGCAGCCCTAGAGCGACGAGAGCCGGGCGGGCAGGGGCGGCGCGGGGGTGTTTGGCTTGCAGCTTGGAAACAACATCAGTCGTGTTGTCCAAGAGTGGCGGAGACACCAGGGCAGCACAGGCACGTGAGAGCTCCCCTTCAGCGGCCAAGGCACAGCATCGGGCCTGCCTGGCAGCCTGCGCTGCCTCTTCATCATCGTCCCGAGGCCGGCGACGGCGAGGACCGGGCAAGTCTCCCCAAAGTTCCTCGCGCTCACCAGCCAGCCATCTGGCACAGCGCCGCTGGGTGAACTGCGCGGCCTGGAGGCGGTGCCGGCGTCCTCCACGCGGAGCAGGGTGGAGCACCGCTTTGGGGAGCATGAAGAAGTCCCGCCACGCTTGCAAGGTGTTGTTGCCTGCCACTTGCCCAAGGGCGCGAGAAAGGCATTGTGCCCAAGCGGCTCACGCAGCTTTGGGGACATGCCGGAGGACTGGGGCAGGCTCAGCGAAGACGGCTTCAATGGACGGCCCAGGCAGTGCCAGGCCTGCGGCAGGGACTGGCACGACAGCTCGGCGAGCTGCTGGCCGACAGCGTGGGTGCGCACCATTGAAGCGGGATGCCACTAACCCCCCACAAACCGAGCACAGGTCAAGGTGATGGCGAGCCCGATAGGCCTGGGGGACTTCCCCTTCCAAGGTGCCAGCGGCGTGATCTTCGAGGTGCGGTCGCATGGCTGCGTGGGAGGTCCAGCCACGGCCAGACGAAGCAGCGGCGGGGCACCCTGGAACAGGGCAGAAAACCCGCTCAGTCCGGCGAGCTGCCGGCGGGGATCGCTCACGCGACCCTGGCCCAGAGGCATCAACCACCATAGGTTGCCGCTCGCCGCCGACAGGGGTGCCAGGGGCTGGAGGCCCTGGATTTGATGCCTCACACGGATCCCGATGAAGCCAGTGCGGCGGCGTAGTCGCCGGCGGACCCTTCCACGGCCTCGGCGGGGCACCCAGCAAGCCCGGCGCCGGCGCCAGCGGATGGAAGGGAGCATTGGATCAAGGGGCAGCGCAGAGCAGGCCCATGCCTGCAAGAGGATGGAGGTGAGCTGGCGCCGCTGATAGTGACTGGCGCGGCCGAGTGGTTGATGCCGACGTTCCGGCAATGGTATGCCGCCAGGGGCAAAGGTCGACTGGCCGGTGGTTGGCAAAGGATGAGGGCAAGAGAGCAGGGACAGAGCCACTAGCCGGGGCAGCGCCCAAAGGAGGAGCACGCCGCAGGAAGCCATGGCGGGCCGCTGCTGGGCGGTGCAAGCAAGCAGAGGGGGCACACAGAGGTGCTCACACTTGAGGCCCACGGCACCGCTTGCCTGCACCCCCGAGCAACAGCCTTACTAAAATGGGCTTGCAGTTCTCGATCATTGGATCCTGAAATCCTCAAGACTGGCGCGCTCAAGAGGTTGCAAGCCCCAGCTCTTAAGTCCGCACCAAAGATTGCTCAAAGAAAAACAGTAAAACTATCAAGTCCGAAAATGCCGAAAAGGCAGGAAAAAGAACTTGAACAAAGGGAAAATCATCTTGATTGGCACCAGCTACGACAAAAATCATTGAACATCAGGAGCTATCCCCAACAGCTTGAAAGGTTCCGCATTTTTGCCATAAAAATTAAGCGCTTGTGCCATAAAAATTAAGTGCTTATGCCATAAAAAACATCGGAACCCCAGGAATTTCACAAAGCATCCGCACCAGAACCCTCCGGAACCTCACAAGGTATCTGCACCGGAACCCTCCGGAACCTCACCAAGCATCTTCTCCGCCAAAACACTCCGGAACCTCACAAGGTCTCTGCACCGGAACCGTCCGGAACCTCACAAGGTATCTGCCCCGGAACCCTGCGGAACCTGACCACTCATCTTCACCTAGACCCTCCGGAACCTCATCAGGTAGCTGCACCGGAAACTTCCGGAACCTCACCAGGTACCTGCACCAAGACCCTCTAGAACCTAACCAAGTATCTGCACCGTAACCCTCCGGTACCTGCACCGAAAACTCGGAACCTCATGAGGTATCTGCACCAGAACCATCCGCAACCTTGTCCGGAACCTGGTGTTGAAGCTGCACCGGATCGCACTGGAGCGAATCTGGGCTAAAGACCCCATAGAGAAGTTTTGCTGTTGGGGAAAACATATAGTTAACCCCTTCCCCCGTTCATATTAAACACCCCCTAAAGGAAACCAGGGTTTTGCTTCGGGAATTTCCAGACTCCATTGGGACCATTAACCATGGGGGTGTTTAATAATAGGGGTGATGGGATTAATTGTCATTAATGAATCCTATACCATCAACAACAGGGATTAATTATGACTAATTATAGTTATAACCATGTCATATAGTTGTATTAAACCTAGAACCATGGTTATAACTACGTATATGAAACCTAGAACTCTAGAACCATATACTACGACATCAATATGATGTTATTGATAACCATGGTTATAGGTTTAATATACGTACTATGGTTAATATATGACAAACATGGTTATAACCATGGTTCTAGGTTAGAACGAATCTATTGGAACGTTCTATGTTATTAAACCATGGTTATAACCATGTTATAACCTAGAACGGTGAAGAGGATCACACGGTTGACAAACGATCTCCTGCAGGTGACCCACCAAGAATTCGGTCAACGGGCTCCAAAAGGAGATCACCTGCAGAAAATGGGTGAAATCATGGTTTGATTGTCCAAATATGTCCAAATTGCTTGGGGGTTGTGTCAAACTGTTTGTTTCTATGGTTCAATTCAATATGATTCAAAATGCCAATGCCCAACAAAAATGCCTGTCCCTTGCCCAAAAACTGTTGATTTCGCACTCGTTTTGATCGCACGAAGAAATGTTTGGACGTCCGAGCGGCTGAGAAAAGACAGCCAATGGCCGTGGCATCTGCCCCAAACTTCTCCAGATAAACGTCTTTGGCACTTCCGATGATAGCCAAAATGTGGAACAAGCTGAAGAGAGACAGCGCAAATCGGAACTTTCCTTGGGCCACTTGGCGACTTGGGTTCACTGGGTTCACCCTTGATCCGACCTGAGCCCCTGGAAATTTCGAGCGCCACTTCCCGAAACTGTGGTTGGTACCGAATGTTAGGGTTGGAGTCTCAACACTTCATCGCTTCCCCCCATTACAAAAATGTTCCAGCCCAGGTTTGTCAATACATTAATCTGCTGTGATGAAGGATGGAAATGGTGTCAAACGAACCTTCCGTGCAGATCACTGGCCCTTAATTCATAGCTGGAATAGACTGTCTCCTCAAAACAGGCTCAAATGACTCAAAGGTCCAGTAGGTCTTACCACTTCTACCAAGGGTGGGGCATAGTTAGGCATAGTTTGATCCAGTCTATACCAGTGGATCCAGACCCGGCCAGAAAACCTTGGACCCATGGGGAAACTTCCTGGTGGCGTCACCGAAGGCCCCAACAAAAACCAGCTGAGGGTCGGAAGTACGAGTGTCCTGCCAGCGGCAAAACCACAATGCGAAGCAAAAAAACCATCGGTGGGTCACAGGTCGGCAAAAGTTAACCCACAAAAAAACTTATTAACATGGGGATGGGTCAAAACCCTGGTACCTAGTGAACCCCAAAATAGCTGGTAAATGTCTATAGGTATTGACCCATACACACATAACCAATCTTGGACACCTTGTGGAGGAGAAAAGAAGACTTTTGAGCTGGGCGTATCACTATTCCCAAAAAAATCCACCTCCTTCCTCCCAGTCACGATTCCCTGCCAGTCCGGAGTGGCCATGGGGTTCATTGGCCTTGGCGATCAGCCGGCTGCAGCAGTTTCTTCGCACCGGCTGCGGCGCGCCCAAGTCCGCCATTCGGCCACGGGACGGGTGCCCCGGGCGCCCGGGCCGGACGTGGCTGCTATGGGGTTGGCGTCGAAAATGGGGGAGCTACCCGGTGAATGATAAACCACTGCACCCAAGAAGATTGATTTTTATACTATACTTTAAAGAGTCTTTAAAAATTGATGTCGGTCTACTGGGCCATGGTTTTCCGAAATGGAATCTTGTCAGCTGGGTGGACCGCATTGGTTGGTGCATGCTTGACAGCTGGTTTTCGCTTGGTAGTTGCTGAGGTAACTTCGGTGAAAGTTCACCTACGGTGTCTTTTTGCTCGTCCTGGTTTCGTTGCCTAAAAAAAAACAACATCATGTGAATCATGGTGGTTAATGTGTCTGCAGCCAAGGGCCCGATCAAATTGCGGGATCCGGCATAGTTCCATTAAGGATTCCCATTTGACGAGCCATGTCAAGCCTGTGCTGCTCATATCTTTAGCAATGCATACCTGTAGATACATTCAAAAAGGGTCCTCTTACCAACTGCCTGTGACACAAGCCGATGGAAGAAAACTTCAGAGGTGCGAAAACTGAGAGCTAGTGAGCAATTAGGTGTGGAAACCATAAGAAATGCAAGATATGGTTGTTTCAAAATATGGAACCCCAAAAAAATACGGCGCAAAACCTGACATTTCCACTGCTCCCATGGCCCCGGGCCGACATAACAAGGGCCAGCCATCAATGGCAGCACCAGAGGCGACCAAAACAGCCAGGGGCGTCTCATCGAGAACTGCACCTGGAGTTTCGCTGAAACCGTTGGAAAAGTGCCACCATTTTCAAACATCCCATGACTCAGTTTGCATCACATTCGCCGCGTTGGATGACTGCCAAAAACAAAAAATGTTGTTTGAAATGTGAACCTCATCATTTGCCCATTGAAATTGCCATAGATCGAGAGCAAATTCCCCATTCTGAACGAACCTCTGGAAGCTGGCCTGCTTGCATTTCAACACGATTGTGTTTGTTTAAAACTGGCCACCGATTGGGCACCTAACACCCTGATAGTTTAAAATCATTTACTGCAAAACCCCTAAAAAAAATCAGTTCAAAAATCAGTTTCACATCCCAAAAAAAGTGCTTTCCAGACTCCCCAAGTTTGATCCACATCCACAGCTTTTGCCAAACCCGGTCACTTGGGATGTGCAGTGCGCCTATGTCCGGCGGGCAGCCCACCAGGATCCGGTTCCCAGCGAGATCCACCAAGACACCCTGGGGGGAAACATCAATGACGAGACAAACAACAAGAAAAGTTAAATGGCCTATAATAATTAATGATAAGAATAATAAGAATAATATTGACAATAAAGATTGACAACAATGTCATTGTATCTAATCTAATATATAATTAATCACAATGTCGAATGAAGCAAGCAGAAGATGGCAGAACAAAACATCCTTCACTCCGTCCTGGTGGTCGGAATCCCCCAAAAACGCCACGCGCAACATGCGACGGCACGGGCAACATGCGCATGGTTTGGGCGTTTGGGGAGTGCACAAATTGCCTTGCAAAAATATATGGGACAGCTCTCACAGTCACATCAGAACACTAGCAAGTAACTATCTGTAGGGAACAGTATGTTATATTTTGGGGTTACCTCAGCTAGAAAAGGATAGAAAAGGGTTCCCCCCCTCTTGATCTTGATGATGGTTTGGTGACCGGATACATTTTCATGGCAAAGAATGTCCACATGACTCATGTCCACCAGATCCCATTTGGAGCCTGTCTAAGCTCGGCGTGTCCATCTTGCTGGAAAATCTCAACCCTGGATGAATCCCCATGGTTCAATCCTAGGAAAAAAGCCAGGAAAAAAGCCAGGGGCGCCCCGCACAAAGAACGATTCAGACATTCTATGGGAACAATGGGTGACAAATAAGTTCTTGACACTAATCGAAGAAACAAAAAAAAAACAAAACAAATGGTGGTGGAGGCATATGAAATTCATCAGGATGCAGAGCAAGGCGGTGAACTTTTCTGTGCTACACTCTGTCTGATGAGAAAGCCAGGATGTGCTCCCAGGACCATTTCACAAACTCTCGAAATAAATCAGCCTCCAACTCTGGCGTCCACCAGTCTGTGTCTGGTAACGCACCGCGCCAAGCCTCGAAGCTACCAGCATTGCGGCACTTCTCCAGGGAACAATCTTTCAGTACGGAGCGTATGGCGATGGATTTCGCCGCCTCGTTTTGGCGAACAATGGCCTTCCGCAGCAAGGTCCACGCGTCCCCAGGCGCCAGTTGGGATTGCAGGCAGTGCAGCGTGAGACTTCGGAGCCGGATGCATTCTTGGTCTGGAAGCAGCAAATAATTCTTCCCCCCGGGACCATCCAAAAGGGCCAAGAAATCCAACCAGTCAAAGGCTGTCATCACACCTTCTGTATGCTGGGTCCCGGTGTAAAGATACTTCAACAAGGCCTTCATGCTGCCCACGCTGGGCTCTGGCTTGAGGGATGTCCTGATTTCTCCACTCTTGGCTTCTGCCAAGGATGTCAACAGCACGCCTTTGTAATACTCGGAACGGGCAACGAGCATGAAGCGGTGCGCTGCGAGTTCCTGTTCAGATTCACCTTCTGCCATAAGACGGCAATCGATGCAACCAGTTTCTTTGACTGGTTTGCCATCTGCTTCTCTAGCAGTATGAAGCATCGACTCCAAATCTCCCAGCAAATTTGGTGGCGGAATGCTGCTGTTAAGGCTGTAGTCAGGTAGCGCTTCCTCTATCAGCAGTTGATTATTACCTGCAGCAGCTGACATTGCCAGCGCCAATAACTCTTGATCATGTTCCAATGCTGCTATCAACCGCTTGTTGAAATCAAGATCGTGGAGCGGCTGCATGTTGGCCAACGCCACGAAAACGCGTTTCTGAAGCCGTTTTGAACCTATTTTCTTGGCTTCTGAAAGAATCTCACCAACATTTGAGGGTTCAACAGCATCATACACGTACTTTTCACAGAGGGCGTGCAGGCGTCGCATGCAGCACACCCCATCATTTTCTGCAAGAAAGAGCCCCTTTGCCAGTGTCATCAGCTGAAAAACATCTTTCACCCCGATCCCATCACCAGCAACCAGCCGATCTGTGTAGATAAAAAGAAGAAGCGTCCGAAGCGTCCTTGTCAGTGCGCCAGGCATTTCGATCACCGACACGTCCACGTTGTCACCCGAAAATAGCAGCCGCCGCCGCTTAGTCTTTGAGCGATTCAAGGGGTCTAGGGGTTTCAACCCGTGCTGTGAACAGAATACAAGGTTTCCTCTCAAAATCAAACATGGCAATAGGGATACTTCATTTTCTATTAAAGGGATCCACTATCAAGTTGGGATAGATTGAGGGACGATTTTGAGAACAAATGGTTTTACCGCTAACCATTGAACATCAAACTAACTTCACAGCTGGATCCAGCGAACCCAAATTTTGACCCAGTGAACGACGCTTAAATCTCACACCGAACTAAGGGGCTGCAACGCGAAAAAAAACCACCTGCCAACTGTACATCGCATTGACAATCGCAAGAACCACGCAAAATTTCAAGGGGTTCCAAATTCCAACAGAGTGCCCCATTGGTGCGTTGTTCCAAACCCTCTGTCATGAAAAAACTGGTTGATTCCGAACAGGATTCCCAATTCATGCATGATAAAAAAACCCAACATAAACGAAGGATACAGTAGTCCAACCCCCAGAAAAATTACCACCCGACTATCAGTTATCAATCAACATGAGAATCAGCCATATCATCAGATCTTTCATTGTCCAAAAAGTTGAAATATAGTTAAACCGTTAAACCCCCCTTTGAACATCTTTTAACCATCTACAATCATCGCCTTTCCTCTCCCTTTGGTCCCGGTCCCCCGGCCGCCGCACTCGTGCCTTGTTGGTGCGTTCCACTTTCCGGGCCAACGCTGGGCAACGGGCTTGAAGCAACGCGAAATGCGCTGACACTTCTCCGTCCTCACCTCAGTGCTTGGGATGAATGGAAAGGCCCAGACATCAGGAGGTATTTCATTACAAGAGGAGCTACAATGAGGTACTACTTCATATATTCGCCCTTACACATCCTCGCCTCTCAAGACTGTGTCGCTCAAGACATCGCCGTCCGACAACAGCAAAGATTTCAGATGTTCGCGCAGTGTGGGATCCACATCGGAGTGAACCACTGCCGCGCCATGGGAGAAGATTACCCCAGGCACTGGTAGCATGTTTTGGTAAAGGGAGTCTCTCCTCTCAGTTTGGAAGTAGCTGAAAAATTCCATCCTTGCCTATTGTTGTTTACCATGCCGATAAACTATTCAAGATGACTAATTATTTTGCTCAAGAAGGACAGTTGTCACTTATAAACGGTCAAGACCAATTTTGTCCACACTCCCTGACAATCAAAATACATGAACATATGGGCGTGCTCAGATCAAGCATGACAAAATTTGAAGACAATGTGTATCGCCTTGTCACTTGCAGCAAATTCACGACTGCCGGATGCCACTTTGATGCAAAATAGCAAAGGCGGAACCTGAAACATCAATTTGTGGTTTGGTAGCCTTATCTGCACCCACACGGCACAAGCTAGGAGAAAAAACAACTAATGGACGCACTATTTCCAGACGCGGGTGTAGGCAAAAGCAACCCAGAATGCACAATTTGATAAAAAGTCGATGCAACCACTGATGGCGGAAACTTAATCTTGGCTACGAATTGAAGTGGGGCCGCGTTGTGGTGTTTTGCAAACAGCAAAAAAAAACACCTTGAAAAAACTAGACGACGGATGGCCCGAGAGCGTAAAGGAGCAGGGTCTTCTCTTGTTAGTATGGAGACACCATATTACAAAACAATATAGTAAAGATGTGTTACAGGCAGACGAGAAGATTAGTATCCAGACAATATAGCACAATTACAAGACAATAGTTTGCATCGCAAACACTTTTACACACAGAAGTTTTTACACACAGACGTTTTTACACACAAAATTTTGTACACACAGAAGTTTTTACACACAGACACTTTTACACACAGACGCTTTAACACACAGGCATTTTTACACACAGACGCTTTTACACACAGGCACTTTTACACACAGACACTTTTACACACAGGCGCTTTTACACACAGACAGTTTTACACACAGACGCTTTAACACACAGTTGCTTTCACACAGACGTTTTTACACACAAAAGTTTTTGCCCACAGAAATTTTTACACACAGAAGTTTTTCCACACAGACGCTTTTACACACAAAAGTTTTTACACACAAACGCTTTTACACGCAGACCCTTTTACACACAGGGGCTTTTACACACAGACGCTTTTACACGCAAACACTGTTACACACAGACACTTTTGCACACAAGAGTTTTTACACACAGACGCTTTTACACACTAACACTTTTACACACAAACGCTTTTACACACGGATTTTTTTACACACAGACGTTTTTACACACAAACCTTTTTACACACTTCGCCGGACAACTTGGAAATCGCAATTTTACTTCAGTTTTTGGCGATCGAACCTCATTTCATGCTAAAGGGTCGCGATTGGATAAGAGAAATTGCAATTTCACCTCAATTTTTGGCGATCGAACCTCGTTTCGTGCGAAAAGGTTGCGCCGGACGACTTGCAAATCGCAATTTTACCTCAATCTTTGGCGATCGAACCTCGTTTCGTGCGAAAGGGTTGCGATTGGACCCTTAAAATCGCAATTTTACCCCAGTTTTTGGCGATCGAACCTCGTTTCGTGCGAAATGGTTGCGCGGGACAAATTGAAATCGCAGTTTTACCCCAGTGTTTGGCGATCGACCCTCATTTCGTGCGAAAAGGTTGCGCGGGACAAGTTGAAATCGCAATTTTACTTCAGTTTTTGGCGATCGAACCCCATTTCGTGCGAAAGGGTTGCGCCGGACGACTTGCAAATCGCAATTTTACCTCAGTTTTTGGCGATCGAACCTCATTTCGTTCGAAAAAGGTTGCGCCGGACGACTTGCAAATCGCAATTTTATTTCAGTTTTTGGCGATCAAATCTCATTTCGTGCGAAAGGGTTGCGTTTCGTGCCGTCTCGTTGGCACTGCCCCTGCCCCCGCCTTCAAGAGAGAAATAGAAAAGAAGGAGAGGGCAAGAGGACAAGAGGAGAAGATGTGAGGGCAAGAGGAGAAGATGTGAAGATGTGAGGATGTGAAGATGTGAAGATGTGAGGACGAAAAGATGTGAAGATGAGCAGATGTGAGGATGTGAAGATGTGAAGACGAGCAGATGTGAAGATGACAAGATGTGAGGATGTGAAGATGAGAAGATGTGAAAATGAGAAGATGTGAAGATGAGAAGATGTGAAGATGAGAAAATGTGAAGATGTGAGGGTGTGAATATGTGAAGATGTGAAGATGACCAGATGAAAAGATGAGAAGATGTGAAGATGAGAAAATGAGAAAATGAGAACATGAGAAGATCTGAGAAGATGTGAAGATGAGAAGATGTGAAGATGACAGGATGTGAAGATGAGCAACTGTGAAGATGTGAGGATGTGAAGATGAGAGGATGTGAAGATGAGAAGATGTAAGATAAGAAGGTGTGAAGATGAGCTGATGTAAAGATGAGAAAATGTGAAGAGGAGAAGATGTAAAGATGAGCAGATGTGAGGATAAGAAGATGTGAAGATGACAAGATGTAAAGATGAGACGATGTTTTACAGACCCCCAGTATTGGAAGAACCCTGTGCTCAGACGCTCTCGGGAATAACCCCACCAGTAAAAGGCTGTTCGGACAATTTGTGAAATGGAAGGGTCAACATGGGCACTGCCATTGGCCAAAGGAAATATAAAAAGTCGATATGTCCGCCTTACGGGCATTCGAAACAAGTGGATACAACAATGAGAAGAGCTGAGGTGAGCTGAAATCACAAGTGCGGAGATGAGATGACGTGAGATGAGAAGAGCTGACATGAACTCAGTTTAAATGAGATGAGCTGAGAAGAAATGAGAATAGTTGAAATGAGACGAGAAGAGGTGCGAAGAGTTGAGATGCGTGGAGAAAAAATTAGCACTGTGAGGCATGCTCAACAAAAATGAGAAGAAAAAATGAGAACAGATGAGAAAGAACTGAGATGCGGAGCAGAGATGAAAAGAACTGTCTCAGAGATGAAAACAGCTGACAGGAGACGAGAACAGTTGAGATGAACCGAGAAGAGATGAGAAAACATGAGATGAGGTCACATGAAGTTCGTGTTCAACTGCACCTGCATTGATGCTGCGGTAAAAGCGTCTTATGTGACATCATGGCGGGGTTCTGTGGGGTGGAACCACGGTGACGGTGTTAACCGGTGAACGAATTCGATGCTATGGTGGAGATGTGTTTTGTTGCAGTTTGCTACACCCGAACCTTTTTCAAGAAACGTCCGACACGCTCCTGATGCTACGTGACAAAAATATTCCTGTAATTTTCAACCAGTTTTTCCTGTTACCGTGAAAATGCTGCCAACAACATTCCAACTTGTTCTTCATGCTAACCTCTTGGTTTTCACAACTAATTTCTTGATGTTAGGTTCCCAAATTTTTCAACTAAATTCTAATACGTTTTTTGATGTCATGCTCTGAATTTTCTGCTTTTGATGCTGGGCTCTCAGTTTCTTTGAACAAACTGCACAACGGTGTTAATGCTGCGCCCTTCGTTTTTCAGGCACGATGCTCACTTTTCGAGGTATCTCCAACATGTTGCAGGTTCGTTTTGGTCTGTGGGATTTTACGTGTAATTTTCCGCATACAGTGGCTCTCGTGAAATCTTGACATGCGTTTCGACGGCGCAGGTTCGCGCAAACTCTGCATCCGCCTTCCGAGCCCAATCTGGGGTCCGGCATTTTCCGGTAAATTTCTGCAGAAGGTGGCTCGTGTGAAACCTTTACATGCGTTTCGAGTGCGAAAGCTCGCACGAAGTGTGGGCCCGCGTTCTGGGATTAATCTGGGCCACGGCATTTTCGTATAAATTTCCGTATGAGTTGGCTCTTGCGAAGCATTGACCTGCAGTTCAACTGCGCAGGCTCGCACAAAGTGTAAGTCTTAGTCCTGGGATCGTTCCTCCTCCCCAACATCAACACCCTCAACGTCATCATCTTCCTCCTCCTCCTCAACATCATCATTCTCAACATCATGATCTTCCTCCCCCTTCAAATCACTATCCTCAACATCATCATCCTCCACCTCATCTTCCGCAACATCACCCTCCTCCACCTCATCCTCCGCTAAATTATCATGCTTTCATCATCCTCCTCAACATTATCATCCTCAACATCCTGATTTTCCTCCTTCTCAAAATCATCATCTTCCACCTTGTCCTCGTCCAATTCATTTTCCGCA